TAGGTCTCAATGGAATGTTGTATACTTTTTTCCCTTGGGGAACTCAGTATATTACTAAGTTTGAAAATATTTTGTGTGGAAAGGAATTATTTTCGTATATAGTGTGCATTTTTTTTGGGCTGCAGATGAAATGTAGAACTAACTTGATTTGTGTCATGAATTTGAACTCAACAAAATTGTCAAAGCTGTAAGCTATAAAGTTTAATTTCTCAAGTTTTAAAATGTGAATATATAGGATCCTGAAGTGTGTGTGTGTGTGTGTGTGTGTGTTTAATGTTCATTATGGATGATGAGCATCTCAGACACTTTCTGGGTGGCAGCAGTCTACCTCAGGGCCTCCTGGCTAAGAAGGGTTACGACTGAAGGACAGCAGGTGGACTGGACCTCTCTCATGACCTGATACAGTGTCCATTAGAAACGATGGGATAACTCCCATTGACTTCAGTGGGCATTGCGTTGGGTCTGCAGTACAGGCTTGAGGCCTAGTCTGGTTTTTAGGTGTAGGAATCATGTAGGAATCTGATGCAAAGTGTGTGGGAGGAGGACAATGATAGGCTGTTCACAGAAACACCGTGGAGGCCCAGTGGTGACTGAATAAGCCCAGCTTCTGATCTTATGTGTTTCTGCACGCAGCACTGCTCACCCGGTCATTCGTTCATCCTCATCTCTCTCTGTCTCTCTCAGTGGCTTTCTCACACATCCTCACCTGCTGTGTATTATGACTATTAGGCCTAAGTTGGCATGCTCCTTTAATTTATTTCTGTTTAAGAAGTCAGCCCACCTCTGTTCTCTCACAGGTTCTACTCACATTCTTACTCCCACCAAATTTCTCATGGACCTGAGGCACCCCGACTTCAGGGACTCCACTAGGGTATCTTTTGAGGATCAGGCTCCAGCAATGGAGTGAGAGCCAAAGAAACAAAGTAAAAGCAGCTTACTAAAGAAAAGAAACTCTTCCACTCTGAAGGGTTTTCTTTGATTCTTCCGTTATTATGTCCTTTGATATTATTATTTTTTCCTTTTTATTCTGTTTTTGGTTCTTTGATGAGAAAATGCTTGCGGTTCTTACTACCGATTTGAAAATGTGTCCAGTGCTGCCTCCATTAATCCTCTATCATGAAACTCTTTTGGGCAAAACTTGTCAGCGTCCTCATGCCATTAGTTACCCATTATGTAGTCATAGAGATGCAGGGGGAAACGGTTTGGTGTTTTCAACCTGACTGGAGAGCTGCTTGCCTTTAAAGGCATCTGAGTGGGAAAAGAGCCTGAGATGGTGATTCGAAGGCCTGAAAAGCATTTATATGGATTTGATGTTGGGTCCAGAGAGCATAAGTGTGGATTTGCAGCATGAGAGGAGCAAATTGTAGCTAGAACAGGAATGTCCCTGATTTGAGCTCCATGTAAAGCAAGGTCATGGCTTGTGATGAACCTCGATTTCCCCGTGACAGGGTCTGTACAACCTTGTGCTAATGTGCAACACTGCTGCACAGTAGTACAGTGTTCACTACCCTAAGTGAAATAAATGTTCCCAGTTCTCTTTCCCTGTCCACTTTGCAAGAAGATGTTGGGATATTAAAAGCCACCTAAAATGGTGTTTCCCTTAAGAAACTTTCTCAGTGGTCTGCCATCCGGATTGTTTGGTTGGGGGGAGGGAGGGACGTAACAGAGTATCAAGGGAATAAAGTAAAAGGAAGCAGTGTTAAAACATTAGCTACATTAGAAACATGGATTTTAAGTCAATGGAAAAACTCTTATTGACTTGACTAGGGCCAGGATTTCACCCAAGAGAACTGTGGCTTTGTTGTGTTTAAGCATCCATAGGGAAACAAAGGCAGTATATGTAAAGGGCTTGAGTCTTAAGGCCAATAAAGATGTTTAGTGGAGTTCTGAGTCTTAGTCCCTAGGGATGAGGATGGGTTTTGTTCAGAAGGATCTGGGGATAAACTGGGAATGGATAAAAGTAGTAAAAAAGGTAAAAAGCCAGTTGGCCCCAGGTGTAAGTCAATGGAGGTAAGTGGCACTCCATCAGGATGGATCCAACTCATTTTGTGATGGGGATATAGTCAAAACTCTCTCTTTAACTCCCAGAAATGCTCCCAGTGCCTTGTTTGCATTGAATCAGCTCTTGAAAGGTCATGAGATATGAGAGCCACATGGATGCAGATGGGGATGGATGTTTGCTATTCCTGTTTCTCGTCAGCAAGTCCCTCCTGTCAACTTCCATCACCAAAATGCTCATGTGGTTGGCTCTGCCTGTGTGCTGCAGTGAAGAGGAGCTGCGCCTCTGCTTTCCCTGCCTGTCACTCTGTCTAACGCATGCTAGGGATTGTCAGGAGGATTATCATGGGGACTGGCAGGTGCTCGTCACTTTTGTGCAGACAGGATTTTATGGCAGCTACTTTCATAGTTTTAACACAGATCTATGGGCCACACAGACTGTAAATCTCTTCAACCAGTGCTCCAATGCTAACCAAAGCAGCCTATGAATGATAGTTAGGGACAAAAACTATTTTATTGCAACAGAGAGAAATGAATTAGGGAGTGTAACAGAGAATGGATGTGTGGCACGACTAAATATATTTTGGGCCAAAACCATCTATAATGACAGCAACACTTCTGCTTGCCTGGGCCACTTAGAAGCATTGCCCAGCGTGCACTTAAGATGACAAATTAGCTCAACCTTCCAGTTTTGTCACACACCCAGTCCCTGTGTAGGGCACAGTGAGTCAGGAAACATGAAAGAGATGCTGTCAGCACAGCCAAGATCTCTACCCCATGCAGCACACAACCAACTTTGCTCTTGGGTCTTGATCTCCGCTTCCACCTGGACACAACCTAGGAAAGCGCTGGTTAAAAGTGACTAGATCCTTCCAGCCCATCTGTAGCATCACCATGGAAGCTTATCCTCAGGTCAGGAGTCCTGCTGATTGCAGGCAAGGGCACAGAGTTTGGTGCAAGATACATTTTAATGCTTTTAGGAGTCTGAGTGTAAGATGAATCCTTCAGTAAACAAATTTCCCAAGGCAATAAGAGCTCAGGCTCAGATTGCATCATTGGAGATTCTCAGCCAAAGGCATTTATCCTAACAATACTTTCCACACCTCCATTAATTGCCAATAACTTTACAAGCCAAGAGAAGCTGCTACAGATCCTATGTGGGGTTGAGTAAGTCTTTCTAGCCTTCTTCATCAGTTTCCCCAACGGACAGTCATACTTGCCTTTTTGTGAAGCGCCTCGTTATCTTTGGGAGTAGACTGAGCATGTCACCACTGTTGCAATATTTCCTTTTTCTCCTAATGCAATTGGAGACTTGCAATTACATGACTCAATTTGTTGTTAAAGTAGATTTTGGGCATCCTGGTTAAAGAGAAAAGCAATGCAATACCCGAAGGGCTCCAGAAAAAAAGAAGGCAAATAAAAAAAAATCTGATATATATTGATCTGTATAACATCTTATGATGATGTTATACAGCTCTCTCAAGGAGCTGGCAAGCATCATAGCCCAGCCTCTGGCACGGATCTTTGAAAACTCCTGGCGCTCTGGTGAAATGCCCGAAGATTGGAAGAAGGCCAATGTGGTGCCTATCTTCAAGAAAGGGAGGAAAGTGGATCCGGCAAACTACAGGCCCATCAGCGTGACTTCTATCCCGGGGAAGGTCTTAGAAAAGTTTATTAAAGAGGCCATCCTTAATGGACTGGCCGATGCCAACATCCTGAGGGATAGCCAGCACGGGTT